CATGCCATGGTCGAAAAGTTTGATCATAAGAGAAAGGCAAAGTCTGAAGTAGTTCCGTGTGTTGTTCCAAAAGAGTCAATTTGCTTTTATTGCCAAGAGAAGGGGCATTGGAGACGAAGCTGTCCTGTCTACCTGAGAGATCTAAGAGATGGGAGAGTCAAGACGTATGGCTCTGCTTCAGGTAAAATCCATTAACTAACTCTATAAGTTCCTATTTTTTTGATTCATGATACATTATGTGATAAGATTACATTTTTTTTGATGTTTTGTAGAATCAAAGAAAAGAAAGGAAGCTTAAAGAAAGAAGCGTGTTGAATCTGATCGTGAAGAAATGGATTTCGATCGCATGGATTCGAAGATTGGATTTTTTAGCTGCTACTTTAGAGTTAGGATAGATTGCTAAGAAATGTAATAACATAGTTTTTCAATTAGTTGTGTTGTAAGGACAAATTTTTCCGCAATAAAAAAAATTTTGATTTTGTTTTATTTATTTATCCTTGCAATGACATGTATGAAAAATTGATGTTTGTGTATTTCTATTATTAGCAATGTTGAAATGGATGTGATTCTTAGTTATGTTATTTATGGTAGTGTCATAATTTTCTAAGTAAGGAAAGATTCCCATCGCCCAAGTTTCAATTGGACAGAAACTTGGAATCATACAACTTGTATTGTGTGATGTATGGAAATCTTGGTACTTAAGTAATTAAGACTAATTCCTTGTTCACATAAGTATGTGACTCAAGTGAAGGACTAAAGGAACTAGTACACAATGTTGTGCACCAGTCAAGTCCACCATAAATAATAATAACATTATTCGTCATGATTTACTAAAGGTCTAGTAAATGTGGGTATACTTATAAGATTAAGTGTAATTCTGAATCATTGAAAAGTTTCAATGAATGGCAGAACGAATAAGTAGAATCAATGAAGGCAGAAAGATAAAAAGTTTCTCCAATCTAAGAAGAAGGGAGAGTACTTTTGTATCGTGTTTTGTGATTGTCTTGGTAATCGTAAGAACCATATTACAATCCATCCTCTAAGGATACCTTAGTGCACTGGTTTGGCTAAGAAGAGGAATGGAGAATTGTTGAAATGGTTAAGTCAATACGATGTATCGTACTTCGTTCCAAAATCAAGTCTTAGAGTCATACTCCAAGATTATGACTTGAGTGACATAATCTTAAGTAGGAATGTTCTTACACTTGCACATTTTGGTAAGTTGTGATGTCTTGAATAAGACAAAGACCAACTAGTACCAAATGGCGTGTAGGTTTTGTCTTGATATAGACACACACTAACTCTTACATATTTGTTTTGTCAAGAAATGTTTCTTGATAAGAGAATCTAATATGTCAAGAGGTCAGTGGGAGTCTAAAGATCTTGAAACGTTTCAAGAACAAATCAAGAAGTAAACCTATTAAACACTAGCACACGACTTGAGGTTTATAACCTATCGTGTTGACAAAATTTTATTTCTATGCCATTCCAGTAAAGTTACTTATGCATATGAGTTCTACGAGTTCTCAATTGACTGCATAAGGGCAAACACCTTGTTCAATGAAAGTACATTGACTGGCATAGGTGAGCTGCTAAATAACCTGGAAGCAATGGTGGGACCCTTGATGGCAAGAAATTAAGAATGAACAAGTTCTGTCCATAAGAGTTTGAATTTGTCACAAACATTATCTTATGAATATGCTTATGACAAATTTGCATGGATAGGAACACATGCACCATAAAATCTAAGTGTCATAAGGTTTCTCTCCTTCATGAAAATGATTGTGAGGAAACGCTTTCACTAAGAGAGATTTTAAGGTAGCGGTTATGTAAATTGCATTCTCAAATTCGATTATGATTACGACATCCCTCTTCATAGTTCGAATTGTGAGATTTGGCAATTAGTCTGAACATTTGGGACTTAGTAATATAAGTTCTGAATTAGTTTAGACACACATGTGAGCTGTCTAAGGAAAGGTGTGTGAGTTTGAGAATCTTAGAGAAAGGCTTATCGAAGCACATCGTATTGGAAATATGAACTTTGGAAGTCAATAAGTATTGTCTTTTAGAAGTCCAACTGTTTTCTGAATACGTGTCAAAGCTAGTGGGAGCATAAATGTTATGCTGGAATGGATATAATCATCATGTTAGTGGGAGCATGATTATTATTTTTTAAGTATTGCAAGTTGGCAATATTAATTATAGAAAAACAAAAGTTTCACTTTGCAAAGTTGCAGGGGTTGAAAAGTTGTTTTTGTTATAATTAAGGGAGAGAATGTTATACTTTGTTTCCAATCTAAAAGCTTAGATCGAGAAATTTTAATTAAAATTTAGTCAAGGATATATTTATTATTTGCATTCTCAAAGTTCGATTATGATTACGGCATCCCTCTTCATAGTTCGAATTTTGAGAACACGGCAAATAGAAATATTATGGCAATATTATAGCAAGAAACTGGTAAAGTATCATGTTTTTCATTATGAATCGTATCCCACATGCTTCGGGTATAGGATCGATTGCATATGCTATAATATTCGACCGTTCTAAAATTTTCCAAATGCCTAGGGCATTTAGAGGGAAAAAGGGAATAGAACCGGATTTGACTAAAATAATTAAACAACTGTTAAGGACAATCGAATGTTCGCCAAAGACTGGTAGCTTGTGGACAGTTGGAAGTATACTAATGGATGGACCATATTGACTTTATTATGAATAGATAAGACTCTATTTAGAATGAATTGTCATATGGCAAATATGGAAATGTTTCCTTATTGGGAGTTGGACGTTAAGAATCTATGTCTAGATTAGAAACTTATATGTAAGAAGGATGTTCAAAGGAATGTACTTTGAATGTGAGACTTCATGACTATGGAATTGTCTTGTAACAATCTCCAATAGAGCACTTTGTAATTTCATTGGCAAAGTCTTGGTGACTTTGGCGCTGTGATATTATGAAAGGACCGTTGCATAAAATGTTAGAATCTAACATATTCTAGTAGTGGCGAGAGTTTGTATTCTTACACTAATTGATTAAGATTAGGAATTGTGAAATGAGCATCATTGGAAATGTGTTCATCTGATCTATTTCACAAAGTAAAGACCATAGGAAAACATAGTGTGCATGCTATGAGCATGGGACAATTGTTGTTATAATTCAAGTAAGAAGTTGATTACCCGAAACAAAAAATAATGAGTAATCAATATGGTGATTAAATAAAAGGTGTTTTATTTATACTCAAAAGTTTGGGGCCATATAGGATTAGTATTATTTTTGTGTTTCACTTTGCATGTTTTGACTTCCCGAATAATAAGATTATTCAAACCCTCCACAGTCGCTCATTCTTTGGAAGTAGGAATGAAAGAAGACTGTCATGAATCCGTCTGTAGATTGACTAAAGCGTTTAGTCATAGCACAAGTTTGCTACAGAGTGCATAAGTGCTGCTATAAGATTAGAGTATTGGATTAAATCCACGCTCACTTGGATCGCTTCATGGGTTTTATCACGAGTGATTGGTAAAAACGATAATATCTTATATTCTTGAAACCAAGATGTGTGAGTTGTATCTTGCGAGTCGGTTACACATTGATAATATGTAAACGCACCAGTAACTTGGTGTTATAAAACGTATTGTTGTGTGTGATTCAGTGAGTGAGTGCAAGCGAGCATTGATTCGAAGTTTATCTGTTCCTTTTACCCAAAGTGGGATAAAAGCGATATATGTGGGCCCCTCGATGATTTAGTGATGACACCCTAAGCGCTTGGCCAAGCCGGGACTAAATTGATGTGTTCAATTGTAGTCTGTTGCCAGTCGTCATAAATCGGAAATCGGGAAACAACACATAGACTGAGAGAATGATTATAATCCATGTCTCATGTCTATACCATATCTAGAATGGAGGAATATATGATCCCTTATCTAAAGGACAGGGTTACTGATAAGATCAGAGTTCGACAGCGTCTTTGAGAGCTACGATTGCTAATCGGATTGTACTTACATTATAGTTACTAGACTTATCCAAGTGGGAGATTGTTGGATTAGTGTCTAAGCCCGTAACTATATTTGGTATGTACTTGACCCCGTTGTGCATGGTCCTTTTGGGTTGCCTTCACCAAAGCAACTTGATAGGATGATTTATGGAGAAAGAGGATTAATTATGATTTATTAATATATTATATGAATAATATATTAAAGGAGAAATCATATTGTTTAATTAATATTAGTCAAGAATTAATTGATAGTTAGTTTTGTGACTAAAAGACATTGATTAAACTTAGGGGACTGGAATTGTAATTATAAGATAATTGCAATTGGGCTATGGATCACATTGGAACATAGGTTGGACGAATTCTATGGGAAGCCCATAAAGAAATCGTCCAAGGGGTGTTCTAAAGGGAGTCTATGGGCTGCTTAGGGCCTAAGCAGTCAAATTAGGGTTTCCTAGTTGAAAACCCTAAATAGCCTCACTATATAAAGACCCCTATGGCCCCAAAAACGTGGTGAACTCTCTTGGAAGAACCCTAGGTCGTTTTTGGTGCTCCTCCTCCTTCTCATAAGTCATTCTCTTGCTTGTGGTGTTTGTAAGCCATTAGAGGAGTGACACTTGTGACTCTAAGCTCCAAAGACAAGAAGATTTAATCCATTATCAAAAGGTAATCATCTAGATCTGCTCTTATGTGATAATTTCGAAATGCATATGCTAGATTAGGGTTCTTGAGCCTTAGATGAATTGCATGAACAATAGAGAAACAGAGATCCAAGCATTAGGGTTTGCATGAGCACATAGGATGTTCTTTTGGCTCAAACCCATCAGTCACTGCACCCCCACCAAACAAGTGCCAATACCTACAGAAGATACTTGCAGAAGATCAAGAATTAGGTGGAAGTGAAGGTGGAAGATCCACATACAGTAGCATCAAGTTGGTATTATTGGAATAACTGAAAAAAAGAAGTTTCCAGATAACATTGTCAAGGCATACAACATATATAATTTCAAGAATCATGTAACTAACAACAGACCTGATAACTGTGAAGACTGAAAAGGAGCCATTACAAGGCTTAATGGATTCTCATCTTGTCCAGTTGGGCTAACAGTCGCCACGTCATCTTCACATACATTAAAACATCCCCTGAATTCATGTTAACAAACATGTTATTGAATCTCACATCATATAATAAAAACGATGTGAAATTTGGATAATTTAATAGATATGATCTTACTCGAGTGCTTGAAGAGGCTCTATTGGAAATGATACTAATGAATTCTCCAAAATAGGAATTTCATGACCTGTTTTAGGATCTGAATGATTATTATTATTATCTATCTATCTCACGGGACAACGTTTCTGATGGTAATGTAACACCATTGACCCCGTTTTGTTGCTCTGTAGCTTTCGGGTCTTCTACATTTGAAATTTCATCCAATTCATTGATCTGCCATAAAGGGTAATAACGTAAAAAAAACAAGCATTTCATGATCAAATCTGATATATCTTTCCTTGTCTTATATTTGAACACATACAAGTGCAGCTTGATTCTTTAAATCCTCCAAGTTAAAGTTCCACATGCTAATTCCTCGTATATACTCTTGCTGCATAATGCAAGAAATCAGAACAATTAATTGTAACCAAGATTAGATACTCTGCAACCATAGCATTTCACCTGTGATAAATGTTCCTTATCTCCATATAAATCCTTGTTATGTACAATAAGATCGGCTTCTTTGGCCTAAAAAAAGAAAATAAATAACTAGAAAGTAGAAACATGACTCATGAATTATAAAAGTCAAAGTTTGACATTACCTTTAGCATCCTAAAACGATCACCTAAGGGAGAAAGTACAGAGGTTGACACGGCCAATGTCATGGAAGCAGTATATTGAGGGGAGCCCAAAGGTTGACACGGCCAATGCCATGGAAGTAGGAGGTCTAAAATATAACCTGAGATCAGCTAAGTTGTATACACTTTTTAATTATGTAACAAGCCAACAAATTTGATATTGAAATGAAGCTTAAGTTCATAACTAATTTACCTTTCAAAGTTATATAAATGTGAGTGAATTTCATATTAATGATGCTCAAGGAAGAGCTTCTTGGGTTGGTGCATGCCAATTGCCATTGTAAAATAAATTCTTGAACAACCTTTTAAATGTATGACTAATGACAGTATGACACACACCCTTTTGAAGGACTAACATCTTGGCTCTAATATTAGGAGCACAGGGGCATTTTTGTCTGCAAAAAAAGTCTCATAAGATCATTACCCTCACGTGTACGTTCTCCAACACCAGCAAAGACAAAGAAACCACCTGAGGAAACAAAACCAAAATTGTTTACAAGTGGTGTCAAGAAAATCAAGGTGTTGTCTAAATTATATAAATAAGAGCTAATTAGTAACCACTATGGGCTTTGGCAACATTGTTAATAAGCTCCATGATTTCAATGGTTTCCCTGATCCTATCCCTCAAATTATCATGTAAGAAAAATATTTTTGCTTGATATATTGTGCACATAGTATGATTGTTGGCCTACCATTCACATGTGAGTTGTAAGCCACCATTACTTGTGAACACATTCAGGATCTGGTTCAATAAAATGTAGGTAATTTAGGATAAATTGAGAAAATTAAGTTAATTCCACATAATTTGCATAAAGCAGATGAACCTTTATGGTACTAAATTTGCAATAACATTCATAAATCATAAGTTGATTGATTATAAATAAATGTTATCAGTAGATGTTAATTTGAAATGAAAGTTATGCTATCAAATCAAATTACATTTCTCAAAGAGAAAGATTCGGGAAAGTAACAGTATGCATATACCGGAAGTCTAACCTTTGTTGAAAGATCCGGTCAACAAAGACGAACTGCATCACACTTCTGTAGGTCAATATGGAAAAAGTTCAGATTGTGGGCGCGAAAGACTTTGAAATCAAATAGGAGGCATGAACCAACGAGTTATGATTTTTTTTAAACATTTCATATAGAAAACTGAAGGAAAGTCGAGGGATTACCAACACAGTTTGTCGGGATAATCTTTGTGGAGAAAATTGCAATCTAGCTCTAAATTGAATGGTTCTCCATTTAAAGAAAACACAGTATAGGGCTACAGTTGATAATCTGGAAGAAAAAAAGACGAAGAACAGAAGAATATGAGGTCAAAATAACGGAATGGAATAAACAAAGGAAAATGCTTACCTTTTTCTTCGATCGGAGGGTTAATTGACTTTCAATCTTCGGTGTTAGGGCTTAGCGATTGTAAGAGGAAGAAGACAGACATACTCTCATAGACGATGGTTGTATGTGCTTGATTTTGGGAAGATGAGTTAAAGGAAAGAATTAGGGGTTTCTTGATGTAAGTGAGATTGGGGTTTTTTTTGTCGATGCTGTAGTTCGTATAAGTCAGGGGAGAAGCCGGGAAAGTGGTTAGAGGAGAAGGGAATCGCTGAAGAAGAAAAATAGGATGTGTTCGTAAGATGGAAGGGAAAATTGGCTTAGAAGCTGGTCAAACGTAATGAAACGTTTGGAAACAACTTCTCCTAAATGGTTGGAGAAGAAGGCGAAACGATGGATTTTACTTTGTGCCGGTTGTAAGGTAAGATACGTGACATAATTGGAAGCTGGAAATACAAACAGTAGCATATCATGATGGGGGGTTTTGTTATCGGTGTAGTGCGACAGGAAAGAATGGTTGGAGAAGATGGTCGGAGACACTTGGCGGTGCGAGATCGGAGGTTGGGTGGTGGTGCGATGCTGCTATGAAGACGAAGGCCCTAGGGATTTTTGTTGCTAATTGGAAAAGGCGTGGGGTTTTAATTTTTGGGATCCAATAGGCGGGTGAAATCCCGCCTTAAAACGCGTGTTTCATTAAAAAATTATAAAGCGACACATGTAACGCCCGTGTTTCTAGGCTAGGCATTAATATTGACATAATAGTCTAGGTTAACCTTTGTAACTCATTTTGAAGAAATGAAAAGGAATTATGTGAATATTATGTGTTTTATGCTTAATTATTAGGGTTTAATTAATTAAGAGTAAAAATGAGCGTCGAAAATAAATATTAGATAAAGCCGATATTTATTAAGAAAGTTGTAGTGGTCGTAACAAGGATTACGGATATATAAAGAATACCAAAATCCGAGGTATAACAAAGAAGTTATGACCTGTCGAAGTTTCGCGACAAAACCAACACGGTGCCGAATGACGTAAAAAGTGAGTTTTTGATAAACTACTTTTTAGCCTTAGTGATCTAAACGAAAGTCGTAGTGTTCGTTAAACCAAGAGTATGTATAAAAAGAACGCCCAAATCTAACTTCATATGAGGATGTTATGATTTTTCTAAGTTTCAGCTTAGAAGTAGACAGCTAAAAACTCGAATTTTAGATCGAGTGATTTTTAGCCGACACAACCTAAACGAGAATCGAAAGTCTCGTCAATAGTAGTACAACGGTAAAAAGACAGACAAAAACGGACGTCGGATGAAGAAGTTATGAATTTTTAACGGATATCCTGTCCCGGTCTGTTAAAAATAATAATATAAAAATTAAATTCAAAATTAGCCGACAAAGTCTAAACGAAAGTTGTAGAGCGTAATTTTACCTACGCGTGCATATAAAGAACGTCAAAAACGGAGCCCGTATGCAAAAGTTATGGATTTTAGAAGTTTGGGACACAAAAATCAAGAAAAATCCCGAAATCCGAGGAAAATCGCATGGACCTTAGCCGGCCACGTCACCTCGCACGCGATGATGCCCGATGTCTGACGCGTTTCGCCCTCTCCTCGCATCCAAGGTGCTGTCCTCTCCTGATCCGACGCGTGGCCTTACGCTGGCGCCTTCCGAGCTCCGCCTCGTGCCCCTCTCGTCTGCGAGCCACCTGCCTTCCCCGTGTCAGCATGCGAACCGAGCCATGTGCTCCCCTTCGGCCGAGGCTCTCCCCTATAAATAGTGCCTGCGAGCCTTCTCGGATAAATTTAGGAAATTCTCATTTTTCACCCCTTTTTTCAATATTTTTATTATTTCCACATCCCCCGAAGCCCCGGTATCAATTATAACACCCGAAATACGCCCCGAAGTTCCCGAGAAGCCCGGAAAATTTATCTTTTCGGTTTCGAAGCCCGACCCTCGCAGACCCCGGTTTCTCAATAAATCTCCCGGTTTTATTAGAAACGATCGTTTTAGGAAACGAAGTGGTGCCCGATTATTGTTAAATCAAGTGAGTGTATAGTCACTTTCATCTTACACATAGATATGAAGTATTTTATATAAAATACATGTTATGTGTATATATGTTGTTTGTTTATTTAAGATGGATGTTGAATGAATGTTTTATACATGTTTAAAATGATTTAAAATTTATATATATTTTATCTTCAAATATGTTGGGTAAAACATGGGTAGATAAAGAATGAGGGATAAAAGTACAGTATAGATGTACGTTGGTAGCTATGAATTTATTACAGTATAGATGTACGTTGGTAGCTATGGATTTAATACGATGGCGACTATGTGACGTAGTGCCTATTGAGTAAACCCTGGCGACTATGTGACTTAGTGCCTATTGAGTAAACCCTGGCGACTATGTGACGTAGTGTCTATTGAGTAAACCCGGGCGACTATGTGACGTAGTGCCTATTGTATAAACCCTGGCGACTATGTGACGTAGTGCCTATTGTATAAACCCTGGCGATTATGAGACGTAGTGCCTATTGTATAAACCCTGGCGACTATGAGACGTAGTGCCTATTGTATAAACCCTGGCGACTATGAGACGTAGTGCCTATTGTATAAACCCTGGCGACTATGTGACGTAGTGCCTGTTGTATGAACCTTGGTAGCAATGGACTTTGGATAAATTCCTTAGGTCAATCCTGAGGAATGAATTGATGAAAGATAGTCGATTCTTAGGGTAAATCCTTAAGAAATAAAGGAGATATGGGGATGGGTAATTGAGTTGATTGTTTGATGATTGAATATAATAATTGTATTATTGTGGGTTGAAAACCCTATATGCTCACCAGGCTCCCAAGCCTGACCCACTCAGTTTGTTTGTATCACAGGTGTCGATACGAAGTTACTTTACACTGAGAGATTAAAAGAGATGTAGATCACAAGTGTAAGCGAATGTAAGTTCTGTTTATGCTTACGTTTCTGTATTGACGATGACATCCCCAATGGTTTAAGTGAATGAAATATATTTCTTCGGAAATGATTTGATAATATAATTATCATGTTTTTATGGGAACAAATTCCGCAACATCTTTTAAAAGGATTACTCTGATTTTATTTTAAAAAGCATAAACGAAATCGGTCTTTTCTGGCCGAGAAATTAGGAGATGTCACAGTTGGTATCAGAGCATTAGTTTAAGCGAACTAAGAAATTGTAGGATTTCTAGACTTAAACTTAGAATGCTAAGCGATGATTGTGAGATGAGTGTCTGCTATATTTTAGACACGAGCACAATTTTATTTTAGGAAAGATGCCTAAAATGTTTGATGTGTTAAATATTTTATGTTATAGCTATAAAGATGCCTTATATGCTATTATTTGTTCGGATCTATGGTCTGTTGCCGACCGGATATGGAAACTTTATGTGTTTAAGATTCTAAGCATATGACTACGATATTAGAACTAGCATGTAAACGTTTCGAAGTGATAAGGAGATTTATATGTTTATCGTAAATAAAGCTTTCCTATCTTAAATTCTCGCCCGGTACATCGAACGTCTGTTTAGGTGTACAAAACATTATGGTGAAGACTCGTAGAGAATTGAGTAGATGGAGCAAATGAAAAGCTTATGATAGTGAATGATACCTATCAGAAGATATCGTAAGAGTGGTATCTTGCCTTTAGAATACGTTTGATAA